GCAAGGGCGCCGCCAGAAAATGTTATCAGGGGGGGCAAGTACGATCGGTTCATGCTAGGATGCCTACCCCAAAATCTCTTTCGCCATATTCGCTCACTTGTAGTTGTACTTACTATGTATACGTAAAATCATTAATCATTTCATTGGCATAGTATCAGATAAACATATTAGGGTATTCAAAAAATTCATTGTCGTGACTATAGCCATAGATAAAATTGTCTGTATTTTTCTGTGCATATATAGCTAATCGCTGTGAACTATTTATTTAAATATAACACTTACTAGCTACTAGGTTAGTACTTTATTAATATTACATTCGTTTATTTAAACAAAAACTGCATTCTCCGTTGCTCCATTGCAAACAAGTCAATGGATTTTTCTATAAATGCATCTTTTGATTGTTGGATCAAATCCCTATGCACCGACATCAAGCATAGTCCACTTAATCGGGAATTCGCCATTGAGCTTCGTATCCAAGTTTTTACTTGTCTCAAAGTACTGAAACAAGTAAATAACTCAGTAAAATAGATGCACCAAAATCATTATTAAGTACATTCAAACATAGAGAGGAACAAATAGAAAATATATTTGGGTACCTACCTAAAAGATCTTTCGATCGTGCACGTTGTTGGAGGCAGGGTAATTGCTATTTGAATTGCCTTGCTCACATTTGGTAAGAAGAATGCATGATTGTGATCCAGTAGCTCTACCAAGCAGATCTTGTTTACACTTTCGGCACTGGCATTATCGCGAGTCCAGAGATCATACCACAAGAGTCCCTCTGTCATAAAGTTGTCCAGAAGACTGCCGTAACTCCTTAAAATAACTTCCAAAGAGTGTTCATATTCTTTTCTTGTTAGTGCTTTCATATTTTTAGGGTGGAGGTTAAAAAGTTCAAATGCTTCTTGGTTTCTATCGGAAAATCTCTCTCTTAAAGCTTGAATAAGAGAATCCAAATATGGTATGAAAACAGATCTTCGGTAGTAATCTGCTATATTCATGCTTCCTGATGATGAGGGTACGTTGGAACGATGGCATTGCTTTTTGGTCACACGAGGTGTAGTCAACGTGAGCCCTAAATCTTCAGCTGTCTTTGCCACATTTTTCATTAAAGCAGTGAATTCATTTTCGTCGTTTTGTCTATCAGCACCCAATACTTCTACCAGCCTTTCGATGTGCTTTGAAACTCGCATTAGATCGACTTCTACTCCTTGTAACATTTGAGCTACTATTTCTAGTTGTGCTGAGTATTTGGCTACAATTTCCAAACAAACAATGAAAACGGTTGACGTCACTGCAGAATAAAGTTGAAACGCTTTCTGTTTCGTGTCTTTGTTTCCTTCATTGGAAAGTAAATGAAGTCCTTCAACAATGTTCACAAACTTTGCGTGAAATTTTCTGATTGATTTATATTTTTCCGACCATCTTGTTTCACACAGCTTTTGTAAAGATCCCACAACTGCCCTTCTTTGCGAATTTTCCCTAAAAAACTTAGTAACTTCTTTAACAGTTGCAACTGTGTTTCTAATCTGTGGTACTGCATTTAGATCGTTGATCACCAAATTAAGTCGGTGACTGGCACAGTGGAAAAAATTTGCCATAGGGAAGCTTTCACTGATCCTTTTGTGCACACCGGTGATTTTTCCAGCCATAGTACTACAACCATCGTAACCTTGCCCAACAGCGTATTGTAAGTTTAATCCCCAATTCGTCAACGTGTTAGTAATAGCGTTTGCGATGGTTTCAGCATCAAGCCCATGGTGAAGGGGCGTAAAACCAAGAAATTCTTCCTTTATTACTTTATCTTTTTTATCATAAAACCTAACACCAAGGGATAGTTGCTCGATACCGGCGATGTCCATACTTTCATCTGCCATAATAGAATATATTTCATTACTTTTTATATTATTTACAAGGTCGGTTCTAAGTATTGCAGCACATGTATCTATAATCTCATTTTGTACTTCATGAGAAATATATTTTGCGTTTTTTGGAGCGCTTCGCAAGTGCTCTTCCAAAATTGCGTCACCCGATTCCTCTCTAAAGTGAAGGAGATCATTAAAAATAGCATGCTCGTCAGTTTTACCCCTTAGTGGTAGGTTATGGGTTGCACAAAATACTACCGTTGAAATGATAGATTTAAGTTTCGTCCTATTCTTTTCAATCAGTTTTTTAACATGGTCATTGATTTGTAACTCCACACTTTGTGTTTTATTTTGCATGATGGACAAAAAATTGCCGGCCTTTTCTGATGAACCGCGATGCCATTCTGATGCCATGTGTGATTTAGCACATTCGTGAAATTTTTTGAAATTTCTAAAGGGACGGGTTATAAATGCGCCTAGTAGACTACCTCTTGATACATGGGGTCTAAAGAATACACATGTTTTACAAAAAGCTCCTTTATAATATTTAGAATAAGTCACCCACTCATAAAGACAAAACCATTCATAAAGAAAAGGTCTTTTTCCATCAGGAGCATCTTGTTTAAAATTGTATCCCTTCTCTGGTTTCCAAGGATTTTGCAAAAATAAGTATTTTGTTCTATCATTCAAATTGCATATGTTTTTTGTGTCTACATAGTGCCCTATATCTGTATCTGATGTACAATTTATGGAAGTAGTAGGAGTAGAAGTTTTCGGTGGACAAGCGTTACCATTTTCATAAAAACTGGATAGGCCTGCTGGGCTTTGATTATTAGGGTAGTTGTGTGAGTTGGCATTTATAGCATTCTCATTTTCAGACTCAATATTAATTGGATCAGGTGACTGGTTTGTGGTGTTACTAATGTTGTTATCGATTTTAATCCGTTTATTAAAAAAAATTCTTATGTCCATTTTAGAAAAACCTGGAATGAAAATTCAATCTTTCATTGTAAGTTCTTGAAACAAGATATATTTATATAAATCACTAGGTAACAAATAAAAACGAAAATTGAGGATTTGGTAATGTAATTGGTGTTAGCAAATAGATAAAAAATAATTGAAACTTACCTACTTTTTACTTAGTAGCTAGTAGATCGTAGAGGTAAGTACTATCGAATGCAAAACAAAAACTATTAGATTAACTTATGCACAGACACAAATTACAGGACTTTCGACTTTACATATTTAGAACAACCTGAAATAAGTACCTCAACTTGTCGAACAACATTAAACAAAAGATGTAACTTTCTCTTAACTACCTGGGGTGGAGATTACCAATATTATCCCGGTTCGGTTATACTTATTTATAGAACTGAAATATGCAAGGCAAGGCGAAAACGCTCCGCTCGACCTCGACAGTCGACGCTCGTATTGTTTACTAATCGTTTTGTTTAGCAAACGTACAGTTACTGAGTTACGTACACCTACACATTACAGTGTGGTATCAGGTATCTGCTGAAAGACGTTTTTCGTCATTTAAACGACTGAAAACCTACATAAGGAATAAAATGTAAGACCGTTTATCTGGTCTTGCATTATTAAATGTGCATTTTATAAAACGTACGTTTTCCCAGGGGGGGCGACGGCACCTCCTGGCCCCTCTCTGGCGGCGCCCTTGCCCTCTATCCGTGACCACCATTTTGTATTAAAAGCATAGGGTTAATAGCAGTCCATGTACTATATGGTCTAAGGTTCATTTTCACTTCGGTCAGAGAGCGAACTGATTTGATTATACTTTGAATAAAACGACGAAAAATAGTTTGACAGTTGACAGTTGTATTAGTTTGTTTATTTAGGTGAGGTTAACATTAAAGGTTTTTTTTTTCGTGTTTTTATATTATTGTTGTTATAAAATGGATAAAATACTATTTGACTACGTATTTGAAGTAAGTATAACGAAACTATCCTTTCCAAATTAGAAATGGTATTTTATAGAGTGACAGCACATCTTCTTCAGAGCTGTTGTCGACATCCACAGATGATGAATCTGACGAGTTTTGAGAATGTTAATCAAACTGTTAAAATAGAAAATTATTCCAGAAGACTGTATCTAATTATTCGGACGAGACCTTCAGAAGGCATTTCCGTGTGAATAGACCTGCGTTTCACTCCTTCAAGGTTGTTCTATTATTTCTATTTTACGATCGATTTATACAAGAAATCACTGTACTGTATTATAAGTAGTACATGTTTCAGATTTAATTACGGGATTGTACAAGGACAACATAGGTGGTTGTGATAGAGTTCCTGCGGATGCTGCCATGCTAATGTGTTTTATGGTAGGTACTTAGCAAATCAAGAACTTATAGACAACTTGCGGATCGCTTTGGAGTATCAAGAAGCACTGCACATAAAGTGGTTAACACTGTAATTGATATCTTGATGGAGGCATGTACATAAGTTTATAAAATGGCCAAGTGAAACCCAGTATTACCACATAGCCTCTGAGTTCAAGACAAGAAAAACAATTAACAAATATTATAGGTTGCGATTGATTGTTCACACATTGAGAAGTTAATCAAGTAGATTATTGTAATCGAAAAGGTTATCATAGCGTCATATTACAAGGGGTTGTAAATTGCCAAAATAAATTTATAGATATTTATTGTGGAGAACCAGGCTCCTTACATGATGCCAGAGTTTTTAAAAAGTCAAAGTTATACAAGAAAATTTTAGACAATCCTTGTTTTTTAAAAGAATATAGAATTATTGGAGATTCTGCATATCCAGCATCATCATGGTTGGTAATTCCCCATAAAGACAACGGTAATCTCAATCCTACTCAAAAAGAGTTTAATTCCAATCATTCTGCAACCAGAATTGTTGTTGAAAATGCCTTCGGGCTTCTACAAGGAAGGTTTGGGCGACTTCAACGATTTAATAATATAAACATAAATTTCATTGTTAAATGTATTACTGTTGCATGTATGATACACAACCTTTGTATTAGTCATAATGATAACGTTACTGAAACTGATTTTGAATATGTAGATATTATTACTCCAAAATGCACGGTCTGCCTGTACTTGGGTTTCATTGTCACTATAAATAAGAACATTGTATAATCATATGTTTTAATGTTTGTTATAAAGTTTTTTTTCTACAACAGTTGAAGAATGCACACATTTTTCAACCGAGTTAGTGGGAAAAAGAGATACTTTTAATCCCTAGAGAAAAGAGTTATTACGAGAGAAAGTTAGTTTCTCTCTCTCTCTCTCTCTCTCTCTCTAGTGAGAGAAAGTAAAATCAATCTTACCCTATTTTGGTGCTTTCGCTAAATCAAATGGAAGACTAACATCGCCGTAGCCTCTACTTGTATTTATTTCACACCTTCCCTAAGTAGAAAAAATTTAATATTGAACGCGAGAAAAAAGACTTTTTCAGCTCTCGTTCTATTGCCACACTTGCTACGCTCGTGTGGGGAACATCCAGAACTCGAGTGTGAGAAAGTATCACTTTATTCTCAAGTTTAATAAATAACTATTTTTTGTACAAATTACGGGTTGTTTATTCTAATGCGTTATTTATATTCAGTATAGGAAACATTTATATAATGTATTATTTGTTTGGAAGGATCTTCGCGCTTTGCTGTTGCGCACTGTAGAAGGCCGAAGCTTACTGGGGAAGAATCTCACGGAGTCGTCAAGGCAGCAGTTATGCCAAGTAATATCAAAGGAGATTCTTCGAGATGATGCTCAAAGGCCTGTCACGTGCTTTGTTTACCAATATTGGGCAAAGCAAATTGTAGAAAACTTTCCGAGAGAGTCGGCTGAAACATACTTTCACACTGCAGTCATAAACTGTCAGAAAAAATCCTTGGGGAAGTTGTTTCATTGTGTAGGCAACCTGAAGAAGAGATACAGAGCTCAGGGAATTATAATCCCTAGAGAGAAGTCTGCAAGCGGAAGTGAAAAATCTTACAAATCGCAACAGCTGAGGCCGATACCTGCGGCACTTAATACAAATTCGCCAAAGGAAAACCTAGAAGAAGACCTTCAGTGGTTGAGAACATCAACGGAACAGCCGTAGTGTTAACTAAGTGGCGGTTAACCGCGAAAGAAAGATTGCGCCGCGTTCTCGCAAACGACGGGCCTAGTATTGCAGATTATATGGAAGAATTTCCTTGTATGAAAAAAAGTTACGCCCCAAGGCTTGTGAGTATAAAACTTTCCATTCATATTTGCATGTGGCATCTATTGAAATAATTATTGTGATTTTCGTTTGTTCCAGTACAGATTTTTCTACTTATTTGTTTTTGTTGTAGATTGCAGCAGACTTTGAGGTAGCTTTTCCCAACCTTCAGAACAAGCTTTATGAAAAGTTTCCAACAATCACAGCAAAGCTGTACGAACTTGGAAAACGGAAGAAGAGTAAAGACAAACTACTGCCTTCACTTTTCGAATTGATTAACGGTACGTTTTAAAATCTGCTTATAAAAGGACAGTAGGTAGTGCATTTGCAGATTTGGTGTATTATTAAATAGTTTTTAATCTATTTTCGTTTTATAATGCCATTATTATGACACCTCTGTCAAACACAAAAATCAAAATTTAGAGTAAAGTACCTACCTAACTAGAAAAAATGTTGTATGTATCTCTTGCATAAAATACTTTTTTTTTAAAACAGTTTCGAATGCACACATTTTTTCAACTGAAATTAGTGAAATAAAATTGGCTGTCCGGCTGAGATCTCAGCAATTACTTACAATAGATAGAGGCTTCAAGTTTTTACTAAAAGCTTTCTGCTATAGTGTAGATGTGCAGGCTCTAGTCTATTTTGAATTAGATTACTCGTGAAATTAGGTAAAAAAGGACAAATTTTATTTGAATTTCATAAAGAAGGCTTTTAATAAAAGTTTGATTTAACGTTTTGAACTTTGCTAATAAAGTACTGATCTGTATAATACCAAAAATGCGCTGTAATCACGCATTATGCTGATTTGATCATACTTGTTTATTATACAAAGCGATCAAAAATGAGTGACCGTCGAGTCACCTTTGGAAATTTTGTTTACAAGGGAAATCGTACTTAACTTGTACTTCCAAAGGCGACTCGACAGTCACTCATTTTTGATCGCCCGATACTTCACTAATAAATTTGTATATTTCCAGAATCAGAAGACGCATCTAATCTGGGTGCATTTCTCCTCATCCCCTATCTTCTAAATGTTCACACAGTAAGATCGTCGCATAAGAAATGGCGGCTTTCACATGTAGAGGTGCGTGATAATTTTATCGGCATAGTCTCCGACGACCTTCACGTGGAGGAAGAACTGAAAACTAGACAAAGTATAAAAGAAAGTAAGAAACTAACATTACAACCTTACATTTTGGCTGTTGGGCCTACATTAAAAAATATAAATAGATACATCGTTGTAATAAACGATATTACATACTCTTTTGACACTGTTTTGCAAGCAGTTGATAATTGTTTTAAAGCGATTTGGGTGATGAATGCTGCATATGCCCCCGAATCTAAATTTGTGTGGACTTTTATTCAAAAATTTTGTTACGAACTAAACTCTCCTCACGATGAAGTCTCTAACTGTATTTTAAGTCTCCTCACAGACGTAGAACAAGAGTAAATAATGCCTGTTTGTTTTCTTTGTAACTCGGACGTAATCTTAAAGAATCTGCGCGATCATTTCAATTTGCGACATAGTGACCATGTTTTTACACGATACCAATGCTTGGAAGATGGTTGCAGTAGATTTTTCAACTTGTATTTCTCATTCAAGAGACATTTGCTCAAAAATCATGTTCAAAAAGGTTCTTGTAGTCAGCCGTAAAGTACTTCTCGTACAACGTTGTCTGTTTCCTCCTTGCCACCTGATGTAGTGGAAACTGTTTCTACAGATTCAAACATTCCACATCCCCCACAACCTTTTATTTGTGATGTTGATAGGTCATTTGCTCTTTTTATTGCATCTCTTTATGCAAACTCTACCTTGCCGCGTGGTATTACTCAAACAGTTGTTGGTGGATTGAATGCTTTTATGTCTACTTCATTGATGCCGTCATTGCAAAACATTATTGAAAAATTCATTTCAAGGGGCGTTATTATCTCTGATATTAAACATGAAATACTTACTGATGTGTTGGCAGTATTACTTTCTCCGTTTGAGAAGTTAAAAACCGAACACGCAAGATTAAAGTACTTTCAGGAACTGGGAACCTACACTGCACCTGAGCCTTCAAGAGTGGGTGAACGCATGGATAGTCAAACATAAAGGTGTTGTAAGGATGAAAAATGTACCTTGCTACGAATACGTTATCCCACTCCGAAAAGTTCTACAATCATTTTTCTCTCTTGAAAGTGTGCTTTTAGAAACACTACAATACATAAAAAAGTTAAATTCTCAGGAAGGCTACATTGGCAATTTTATACAGGGCTCGTTTTGGAAGTCGAGAGTAAGTCGTTATGGCAACCGTGTAGTCTTGCCGTTATTTTTATTCTTTGACGATTTTGAGACCGGCAATGTCTTAGGTTCCCGATCTGGTGTCCATAAGTTAGGTGCAATGTATGTTTCAGTACCTTGTCTCCCTCCATGGCAAGTGTCAGTTTTATCCAATATCTTTCTTGCTCTTTTTATTGCATCTCTTTATGCAAACTCTACCTTGCCGCGTGGTATTACTCAAACAGTTGTTGGTGGATTTCATTCTTCTGACAGGGTTTCTTTTGGAAACCGTGTCATTTTTCAACCGCTTATAGATGAATTCAATTACCTCAGTGAGAACGGTATAGATTTGGAGGTACCTGGCTTTAAGGGCACAATTTACTTCGAGTTAGGGCTTATTTTAGGCGACAACTTGGGAATTCACAGCTTAATTGGATTTGTAGAAAGTTTTTCGAGTAATTTTCCGTGTAGAGTATGTAAGGTGAAAAAGGAGGTGATGTGGTCGCAATGTCGCGAGGATACATCTTTATTAAGAAATATTTCTAATTATAATGCTGACCTCATTGCAAGTAATCCGTCAAATTCTGGTATCAAAGAGATGTGTGTGTGGTTAGACGTTAAAGGTTTTGATCTCTTTCAGCAGGTAGGCTGTGATGTCATGCATGACGTTCTGGAGGGTGTTGGGAAATATGTTGTGAGCTTCGTACTAACTGAGTTAACTACCAAAAAGAAATACTTTTCTCTTGAAAACTTTAATAAAAAGCTATCAACATTTTCTTATGGGCCTGATGCGAAAAATAAGCCTTTCCAATTGTCTAGAGAGCATCTCATGGCAGGAAATATTCGTTTGTCGGCTTCGGAAATGTTGACACTCATTAGGTATTTACCATTGCTTGTGGGACATGAAGTTCCAAGAGAAGATCAAGTCTGGAAGTTGTATCTGTCTTTGAGACAAGTTGTCGAGATTTTATTGAGTCCAATTTTGTTGAACGGGACTGCTCTTTACTTGCAAACATTGGTAGACGAGTTGAATGAAATTTATTTGGAAGTGACAAAAACCAAGTTGAAACCAAAATTTCATAATCTCGTTCACTACCATTCAGCTATATCGAAATATGGTCCTGTCGTTCATTTATGGTCAATGAGATTCGAGGCGAAACATAGGCTATCTAAAATGGCTGCTAGGGCCTCTAGTAACAGAATAAATATAACCTTATCTTTAGCTATGAAACAACAACTTGCATTGAATGAAATTTTTATGAAAGGGAAACTTAGCAACGTACTTTCGACAGGGCCCAAACACAATGATTTGTCACTGTTCGACAAAGTTTTCTTGACAAGGGAGTTATCTTTAGACAACAGTAAGTTATTGCAACGGATAAATTGGGCTGCAATGTCATCAGTACGTTATGATAAAGGCTGTATACTTGTCTATGATTCCAAACCACAAGGCGACTATGATGACGTAATTTTCACGGTTGTTGACAAATTATACCTTTATGATTCCACTCAGTTAATTATCAGTGGTGTTACATTAGATACTATTGAATTTGATGATCATTTATGTACATTCAAAGTTAAGAGACCGCATATAGATAACAACATTGCTATTTTCTATGACAGTCTTCCATCACAAACTCCACACACTTTAAATATTCATTCCGATGGCAATTATTATGTAACCTTACGAAGTCCTTTGTGAAATTAAATAAATTAAGGAAGTTTGAGTTAACGTAGTTATTTAATACTTTTCTTTTGGCGAGTATTAAATTTAAATAACAAGGTTAACTCCAACTTCGTTGATTTATTTAATCAACAATATTTAATGGAGAAATATATATAACATATCCTTTGTGAAATTTGTTATAATTATAAAAGGCGTATAAGAGTACGCGGGTGTATAAGAGTACGCACCTTTATTTTGAATATATACTCCCATCTATTTGATATTTTGAGCGGCTCGGCCCATTGTAAATTGCACATTCTAATACAGGCAAAAGCAGATATCTGTATTACCAAAGCTGTTTTTACAATATGGCGATTATAAGTTCCCGCTTGTTCACACTGTAGTTTCTAGGGGTCAGTTTTTAGTGTTTTTGGAGGTAAGTGTTCACTCTGTAGATTGATTAATGCAATTTCTTGCTTCTAAATAACCTTACGTACTATTTTCTTAGCTACAATTAATTGGGTGGCTATTTTTTTCGAGACATTGCTTATAATGCCAAAATTCTGACGTATGTCTAAGAGTACGCAGTTTTGAAAGCATAAGAGCACGCACTGCGTACTCTTATACACGAGAAGGTTTTTATGCTTTCCTACTGTCTAAATAGCGAAATAGTCTTAATAATTTCCTATTTTTTAGTTTGCTAGTAAACGAGTATGAGCCGATACAAAAGAAAAAGTGACCGAAAGCTGGTTTTTACAGAGGAAAATTTGGAAGATATAAAGCGTAAAATCACTGAAGGCTGTAGTAAGAGAAGTATAGCTAGAGAAATGGGTATAAATGAAGCTACCCTACGAAAACGATTAAAATGTGGCACTATTCCGAAATCGTTAGGGCGATTTCGAAGTGATATTCCTGAAAATATGGAAATTGAATTGGCACAGCAGGTACGAGATTTAGATTCGCGATTTTATGGCATTACTAAGAAGAATCTACAAATAGCAGCATTTAAGTTTGCTCAAGTCAATAACATTCAACATCGATTCAACAAAATCACAAAAATGGCAGGCCCATCTTGGATAAAAGGTTTTTGTCACCGGCATAATATATCACTTCGTCAACCAGAGAAATGTGCAATGGGTCGAATCATGGGATTCAATAAAGTTCAGGTGAACAGATTTTATGAAAATCTTAAAATTTTGTACGAAAAGAGGAAATACATAGCAAGTTCAGTTTACAACATGGACGAAACGGGGTTGTCAACAGTGCCGAATAAATTACCTAAGGTATTAAGTAGCAAAGGTAAGAAACTGGTGGGAAAAGTGGCGAGTGCTGACCGAGGACAGCTTGTAACCGCTGTATGTTGTATGAGCGCCACAGGAACGTACATTCCTCCAGCAATGATATTCCCCAGGAAAAGAATGAAAGAGGAGCTCTTTTTAAATGCACCAACGGGTACCTATAAAATGGTGTCTGAATCTGGATTTATTAATACAGAGTTATTTTGCCAGTGGTTGGTTCATTTTAAGAACTGCACCAAACCTAGCGCTGAAAATCCAATACTTTTGATACTTGATAACCATAGTTCACATCGCGATTTACAAGCCATACAATATTGCAGGGAAAATCACATAGATTTGTTATCTTTACCTCCCCATGCAAGCCACAAGATGCAGCCCCTAGACGTTGGCTTCTTTGGCCCTTTGAAAAATTCATACAGCAGAGAATGTGATAAATGGATGACAAATAATCCCGGGAAGGTGATAACACAAATTCAAGTCGCCGGACTATTTAACATTGCTTACACTACCGTTGCAAACATTCAAAAGGCCGAAAATTCATTCAAGGCGACTGGAATCTATCCCTACAATCCAGATAAGTTTGATGATCTTGATTTTGCACCGTCCTTGGTCACAGATTTTCCTACCAGTTCTAATACAAATGAAAATAATGTCACCGAAGCTATGGAACAGAACGTGATAATTAACACAGTTTTATCAAATAACCAGCCTAATGAAGAAATTTCGGAGGCCGAATTATCTATTCCATTGGACATAACACCACCACCAGTCAGCAACGATGTCATGCACGTGACACCATCATTAGATATTATCAATAGTGAAATAGTGTGTGAAGATGGTGTGGTGATACCAAACACTTTGCAAGGAGTGGAAGAAAATTATTTCAATCAATCGATACCAGTTTCAGATATTTTACCTTTGCCGCAAATACAAGATAAGCCAAATCGTTGTAAATCTAGATCTCAGAAATCGGAAATACTATCCAGTACCCCATTCAAAAACGAACTAGAGGAACTGGTTCAAGCAAAAACAACTAAACAAGAAAGGAAAGCAGATAAAATGAAAAGAAAATTAGTAGTTAGTAGTTCAGGATCTGGAACATCACGAAAACAGCAAAAGAAAAAACACAATGACAAAGATGAAAAGGACGTGAGCTGTCCAGGATGTGGGGAACTATATTCCAAGTCTCAAGATGACTGGATTAAATGTTCTGAATGCAACAAATGGTGGGAAGAATCATGTACAACCTATGTAACAGGAAATTTTGTTTGTGCCAGCTGTGAAGAGTGAATAAGTTGATTGTATTTTCTATTTCTATTGTTTCTTTTTTCTATAATCTCTAAATAAACGTTTGTTCTCATTATATTTGATTCTTCATACCACTTTTACATTCAAAAAGTATATGCGTACTCTTTAGCATTGTCATGCCTCATGCGTACTCTTATACAAGTCTATGTATAAGAGTACGCATATACAGAGTTACAAATAAAGTTAATTATCTCATATTTAAGTAATAACATAGTGTGGTAATAACTAATAATAAATTATGAAACACTCATTTTTACCAAAGACATATTAAATCAATATATCTACATAAAAATGAGGACATTATTTCACTTCAATCACTAAGTGCGTACTCTTATACGTCTTTACCCTATTGTAAATCATAATTTAATATAGGAATATTATGTAAGTTTTTGATATAAAATAATTACTTTTAGGTATACTACTAAAAAATTTAATTAAAAATTTGTGTTAAGGAAATATTTTATTTTGGAATTTTTCTTTATTCTATTTTATTTACATTTTAAATTTCACAATTTATTATAGGAATATTACCCATGTATAAGTTTTTGATTTTAGGTACTCTTCTAACAAATATAATTTAAGTTTTGTGTTAAGGAATATTTTATTTCGGCATTTTTGTGTGCATATTTTTATACTTATTTTATTTCATTTTTAATTAGTTTTGTTTAAGTTTTTTATGCACATTACAAATAAACGCTCCATAATGACATTAGATATTCTATTTGTTTTTTGCGTCGCCCATACGTTTTCCATTAAACCTATTCTTCTCTTCTGCTCATTTACATGTTATTCCGGCTATTTTATTTCACTGTTGGTATTTTCTCACTGACGTATGATTGAATAATTCGCCAATGAGAAAATACCAAGTAGAGAAATGAGAAAGCTGGAATAACAGAGGAAAAGAGTTGAATCAACTGATTTAAGAACTACTGTTAACCAAAAGAGACTTAAATTAACTGATAATAGCAGTAGAATTTACCTTACTAAACATTTAAAGTAACCTAGCGAGGCACGTTGATATAACTACCAAAAAGTAAAATCTACCTCACTAAACAGTTAAAGTAGCCCAGCGAGACACGTTGGTATAACTACCAGAAAGTAAAATCTACCTTACTAAACAGTTAAAGTAGCCTAGCGCGACAAGTTGTTATAACTATCAACAAGTAGAAGCGACGATTGCGATAGGTTAAAGTAACTTAGGAAATAAGCAGAAACCAACTATTAAAAGGTTGATTCAACTGACATTAATGGTGATATAACCCTGCACTTTACGTAACCATAGCCTTTTAATACGTTGATACAAGTAGATCACTTCACCGGTTGATGTAACCCTGAAACGGTAGCATCTACTGTTTTGATGTAACTGATTTGAAGTAGTTGTATTAACGAAGATAAAGGTAGGTGCCATAATAACCTAGTCAAGCAGTTAAAATACATGTTTTTTCGGTAGTTTTAACCTACTATTTTTCTCAGTGTAGGTTTGTTATGTGTGTCGTAAGGTCTAATATACAAATGCAGTATCTGTTTAGATTGCTGTCTGAAGGGTTCGACATATCAAAGTCTACAGCATGGGCTTATACAAAAAAAATTTGTCTTCTATTGGTACAACTTTCCAGTAAATACATTTGTTGGCCTAGAGGTGCGAAGGCGTATGAAACCGAATTAAAATTTCAAGAACGTCATAAATTTCCAGGGGTGGTGGGCGCTATTGATGGTACCCATATTCCTATCACAGCACCCCATCAAGATCAGGCCGCATACTGCAATAGAAATCGTTACCACTCTATTATCTTACAAGCTATATGTGATAGTGATTTACTATTTACAGATGTTTTTGCAGGTAAATTATCTCCTTATTTACAAAACAATAACACATTTTCATAGTAGGCTTTCCTGGTAGTGTCCACGACGATCGTGTTTTCAGCAATTCTCCAGTAGGAAGAAAAATTAACAGTAACCCTTATGATCTTTTTCCAAACTCCAATTATCATATTCTAGGAGATTCGGCATATAAATGTACAGGCTTCGTTTTGACACCCTTTAGAGACAATGGGCACCTTACAAGGGTACAGAAGAATTATAATTTTAAACATTCCTCAACTAGAATATATATTGAAAATACATTCGGTTTATTAAAAACCAGATTTAGAATCTTAAAGCATGTCAATGTGTACAATACAGAATTTATTCCCACAGTTATAGTTGCATGCTGTGTGTTGCACAATGTATGTATGATAAATAATGATCCCATTGACATTGTAAGTAGTAGTTATGAAGATATATCTCAAACTCCCAGTAACGCAGATTGTTCAGGTACCTAATGCTAAACGTAATGAAATTGCTAATACATTAGATCAAGCTTGAATCAAAGTTTATTGTAATAAGATATTAATCTTTTTTCAATATGTTTATAAGCTCTCTGAATAAACTCATTTTTTCTTTATGTCTTTCTGCTGCTTCCTTTCGCATTTCTTTAATCCATGCTGGTTCATCATCTTGCATGTTACGTTTCCTTTGTCTTGCCAGTTTTGCATATGCATTAGAGTCCTGCAACAACTAATGTATTTAGGGTTCTAATGTAATAAAAAAGGAACTCCCTACCTCGCTACTTAGAGATTGTGAATGTATATTAGTAGGGTAATAGGGGGTAAGAGTGCGCATTTTTTGCTCAAATAATTATAAATTAATTAGTACACTGAGAAAAAAGATGTGTTTATAATAAAGATATTTTGATTAGTTAAAAATCGGTTGATAGTTAATTTTTGAGAATGATAAACAATCGTATAGTCTTTAAGGAAATACTTAATGAATTCGGATTACTGTTTGTTAATGCAAATCGTCTTACTACTTAATGGACTATTTATTTTATTTATAACTATTAAATATAAATAATACGGATTACTGTCAAACATTACAGATTATTTCTTAAACTACTATGGCTAATATCAATTTTGACTGATTATTAATAAGAAAGAAAATTGACTAAAAATGATGCGAACTAAAACGAATAAATAGCTTTGGACCAAGCCGAAGATTGGCGAAACGCGGAGAGTCGAAAGCGTGTTGTGGCTTTGTGTAAAAAGCACGCTAAGCAAAGTGTTCAATGTTCATTTTCATTTCATTTGCCGGTAGATCGTCTGTACCTGTACATTTAGAAAACTACCGATATAAGTAATACACTGACAAAAATATTTTTTAACCGTTCACCGTTTTTCGTCAGTTATTTGCAAAAAGGTTGGCGCTACGTAAATAAAGGTAATTTGTACTAATAAAAAATGTTAATGTTAACAGTTACAAATGCAAATGCAACGTATTAGAAACAGTCACCTCGATAAAGGTAAAATACACTCTAATAAAATGTTGATTCAACCATTGTTAGAGTTGTTTACGATGTTTTATGGTAAAATCAACTCTGTGCACAGTTAAAAAGTCGACGCTTGTTTCTTTAACTTTGAAAGCGTAAAGTTACCCTTTTTTCTCTGTTGTCTGCAACTGTGCGTAAACGGTAGCAGTAACTGATAAGAAAGGCTCATTGTAAACTGTAAAGGTTGCAGGAAATTTGTAAGTTGTTAAGCCACCCGATTTTTTGTTGATGGTAGATGAAATGCGATTAATTTCATAATCCACAGTAGAGTAGCTAGGTATACTTTATACGCGTTTTCAGTGTTTATAAGTGAGTGATACTGGTAATAAATGGCCGACCTGGAAACGGTACAAAAACTTCAAGAATGGGAACTGGGGATGTATTGCCAAAAGTTTAAAGGTAAGTAGACACTTTTAGTATGATGTGTGAGAAAATTCTTCAAATATGTATATGGTACCTACTCAGTACAGTGTTTTATCGATTCGATGTTATCGATATTAAGGCATCTTGTCAGTTCGTAATTTTAATCGTTGCCGCTCTTAATTTTGTCCACAATTGAAATGTACAAGGACAAAGGTTCGTCGACAGAGTAGGACTTTATGGTAGGTTCGTAGGTGAGAGCGAGACAGTAGCATATACAGGGTGTTTCTGTGGGATCTGCTTCTGGGTCGGGAGTAGAGGTCAAAAAAATGAAAAAAAACAACCATCTCCAAATCTACCGCTTTAAAGCAAGCAAAGAAATTCAAAACATTCACAAAACACATCTTAAGTGTAATATGGTTCAATTTCCAAGCACATCAACTGACGACGTAAGTGTTTCCCTTGATTACCTAATAGTGCGCATTCTTAGTAACAAATTTCCCTTTTAAGAGGGTCATTATTAACTTATTTATACACATTGTTGTTTATTTTTTACAAAGCATTGCATTGGTTTTAGGCAAGTGTTTTACCAATCGAAGAAGGTCAGCCATATAACCACTGACTTCGAAAGTCAAGAGACAGCTGAGGTTGTGCATTGTCCCCAAGTTGATGCTCAAGATAAAAACCGCATCGCAGTGCGAGCATCTAGTTCTAGTTCCTGCTAAAGAGGTTGGTCTTAATCTTGTTAATAATTGACTATATACCTAAAGTATAATTATTGTTATTACTAATAGATTATAATCTCACTAAATGCCATAGGGTGATGTGCGTTTTTATTACAGGATCTAGTTTCTCTATTGTCTGCAACGGTAGAGGGCCGATTTACGGGAGCAGGGGCGACAGCAGCTTTGTAAAATCATCGCAAAAGAAATTCTAAAAGAAAATGCTCAAGCTCCAATGACATGTTTCACATACCAACACTGGGCGCAACAAATCACAGTTACCTTCATAAGGATTTTTGTAGGTAGAATAACTACTTGTATTTCTTTTTTATATAATACATACAACTATGATTATGGCATCTTTTGTTCACTACCCGATTAAATATGTTATTACAATCACGGACAAAATTAATGACTTCACATAGTTTAAGATCATTAATTTTATGCGTGACTGTACATTACCTACAATACGCGTTTCGCCTACAACGAGAAAAGGGTTATTACTACGTATATGTTTAGTTAAATTAACTTGCCTGTAGGTGTTGCGTTAACTTTTTCTGTTTGTATAATCTACAAGATATAAAAGTGAAACGAATTTTCAAAAAGTTGAAGCAACGATTTTGCCAGGAAATCGAAACGTCACATTAACACGACTTT